CTGTTTCTTTTCTCTGAAGTAGCCATGAATAACTTGGCGTGGGTTTACTTCTCCTCTCTCCTACTACCTTTTTTGTGTTTATTTGAAATTTCAGTTTCAGATTTATAGTTATTAATTTTTAACATAAAAATTGTTTTTGGATCATCATGTTCCAGTCAAGTATATCTTTAGCATAATGCTGATCTATGTTGACTAGGAGACCAGCAGTTTCTCTAAGCTGTCTACCGTCAGTGACATAATGTGGCTTCACTCAGTGATTATATTCTAGCAGCAGCAGTTTTGCCAAAAATAATAATATGATGGTTTACATTTTTATTTTTTATTCAAATTCTCCCTTTCCTCTGATTTCATAGCCTAAATTACCTTTGGCTCAGAGTCCCTTGCTTAGCAAGGCTAGATTAGGCAAACAAATCATCACTTTGGGATTATTTTTTATCTTTATCTAGAAGTTTATGGTTTGTGATATACATGAGAGGATTTTGTAAAGAAGTTGGTAACTTTAAATAATTCTAGACTTTATGTTGATCTGCAGCATTTATTATTTTTGGCTTAAAAAGTTGTTGTTAAGGTTGTGAGTGCTTTTTAGAACATGAATTCTAGGGCGCCTGGGTGGCTTAGTTGGTTAAGCGACTGCCTTTGGCTCAGGTCATGATCCTGGAGTCCCAGGATCGAGTCCCGCATCAGGCTCCCTGCTCAGCAGGGAGTCTGCTTTTCCCTCTGACCCTCCCCCCTCTCATGTGCTCTCTCTCTCATTCTCTCTCTCTCAAATAAATAAATAAAATCTAAAAAAAAAAAAAAAAGAACATGAATTCTAGGGATTGTGTTAGATGCTATAATTGCAGAGATAATGTAGACCCTGCCCTCACAGATTAGAATCTGTTGGGTGAAATAGACTTGTAAACAGATAATTCCATTACATTGAGGTAAGTGTGATGACAGAGATATTAGGGCATTTCTGGAATAGAAAGGGGCCCTTACCTTTTTAGGGGAGGAGGAATATTGGAGAAGCCATGCTTGAAATGAGTCTTGAATGGTAAATAGGAGTTAATCTGGTGAAGGACATTTAATCTGGTGGAAGTTAATGTGATGGAAGGACATTTCAAGCAGTTAGAATAATGGACAAAGACACATAGAAAGAAGTAGCGTGTTAGGATTTCTCGTAGGGGAATTTCAAATAGGTTAGTGCTGTGTGAATGACAAGTGAGGAAAGCAGGAAGCTGTAAGATATAAGGCAGTGGTTCTCAAACCTATTATATCCATTGTTTCCTTTCTATAGTAAATATTTTCTCTCTTTTTTAAGATTTTATTTATTTACTTATTTGAGAGAGAGAGAACGAGCGGAAGGGGAGAGGGAGAAGCAGACTTGCCACTGAGCAGAGAGCCCGATGCAGGACTCGATCCTAAGACCCTGGCATCATGACCTGAGCCAAAGGCAGACGCTTAACCTACTGAGCCACCCAGGCACACTATAGTAAATATTTTCTAATCCCCCTTTATTTATTCTTAAATAGAATTTATGTATAATTATAATTCATATATAATAAAATTAACATGCATAATTTCTAACAAATCAACATCATGACATAAATCTAATATAGTCAATTTATAATAAAATAATTTGAAATAATGTATTTTAAAATGTAAATATTCAAGCATTACTGCATTAGAACATATAGTGAATCAAACATATACTTGTACCTATATGTAGAATCCCTGTGAATGTGCAACAATAAACACAGACATATAGATATATTGATAATTCAGATATTTTAACTGGTATTGCCATTGGTAATGAGATTTTCCAAAATGTTCGACAACTGTTTGTAAAGTTCTGACCAAACTAAAGTACAAATTATATTACTTTCATTCCTATAAAATTTGGTATTTATTAAAATTGCAAAATATTTTTTATGAAAAAAAATTAATTTCTAGGTTCGGGTAATTATAAACAGGTTTTTCCACATAATGTTAGATGGGACGTTACCAAGTCATGTGGGGCATGAGTCAGTTTGTTTTGTGGAATGTTCTTGAGCAGGGATTGGTAAACTACATCCCAGAGCCACACTGCCTATTTTTGTATAGCTCATGAGCTAAGAATCTTAGGTTTGTATATTTTCAGAGTTGGACCAAAAAAAAAAAAAAAGAGGAATATATAATAACAACTTTACAGAAAGTTTGTCAACTCATTTTCTTGAGCATTGTAGGATGCCTACCATTCCTAGGTCCTGCTCACTAGATGCCAGTAAGCACTGCAATCACTATGAAACCAAACACAGCTCCAACATTTTTCAAGTTACTTTGGAGGGCAGTACTACCTTGTTGAGGACCACTACCCTAGATGATCAGTTTTCAATATTTTATTCCTCTGTGACACACTTAACAGTAATATGCATGATTTATTCTGATGTAGGTTTCTTGTGTTTGTAATTTTCTTTTTTTCTTCTATTCAAGGAAACAGTTAAAATGAGGCAAGAATTGTTAATATAAAGTTAACCTTGAAAACCCTCCCAATTTATGTTGTTAAAAATAAATTTTACAAACTTTAATTCTTTTACTACTAATAATAACATTATTTGTAACATAACTTACACAGGAATTTTTACAATTGATAACCACTATAGCAGGTAATAGCCAACTGTTGGAAACCTTAACACAGGGAAATGATAGTATCCTATTGTCATTTTATTAATTTTTTTTCTTTTTAAAAGATTTTTAGAGATAGAGAAAGAGTGCGAGGAAGAGCAGAGGGAAGGGACAAGCAGGCTCTGCGCTGAGTGCCGAGCCCAAAGTGAGGCTTGTTCTTAGAACCCTGAGACAATGACCTGAGCCAAAATCAAGAGTCGGAGGCTTAACCGACTGAGTACCCAGGTGCCCTGACATTTAGATTACTTTGGTGGGGTATAGAAGATAAGAGTTGAGGAGGTACAAGGTAGAAGCCTAGTTTAGGTACAAGAGAGTGATTGCTCTCAAGTACTCAATACTGGGTAGTAGGGACAGAGCAGAAGGGACACATTATTAGAGAATTATTTCAGATACAAGAATCAGTAGAAGTTGATGAACAAAATGTTGTAGGCTTAGTTCTTAACCTTTGTTGCTCATTAGAATCATTTGGGAAGCTTTTAAACAGTGCCACTGCCTAGGCCCTGTTTTAGAATTTTTAGAAATCAGAATTTCTGGGATAGAGTCTGGGCATTGATATTTTAAAAATGTACCTCATGGGGCGCCTGGGTGTACAGCTGGTTAAGCATCAGACTCCTGGTTTCAGCTCAGGTCATGAACTCAGGGTCATGGAATTGAACCCCCACATGGGGGCTCCGTGCTCAGTGTGGAGTCTGCTTAAGACTCTTCTTTCCTCTTCCTCTGCCCCTCCCCCTGCTCACTCGAGTTCTCTCTCTCTCAAAATAAGTAAATCTTAAAAAAAAAAAAAAAGTACCTCATTATTCTAATGTGCAGCCAGTGTTGAAAACCACTAATTCAAGTTGTGGAGGAGGGGGCAAGAATCCGGAATAAGTGAGTACCAGGCTGCCAGCTGAGGCTCCTGGTGGATAGAGGTGGCATGCCTTGAACAGTGTCTATTCCATGGTAGCTATTCAAATATTTCTTGAATAAATGAAAATTGATGACTTTGGACTTGAACCACAATCAGTTCCTTATTTAATTTCTGATTATTCTAAATTTGGATGAATTGATCCCAGTTCAATATATTATTGACTGGGACCCAACCAAAATAAATTGTTACAGGTGAGGTTATATCAAAATAGATACCTTCATATGATTTGAGGAAAAGTATGATATGAATCATCTACGTTGTGATGTGATATTGTGAAGCAAAGTGCTAGTAGAAATAATTTGACTTAATTATAGTATATTATACAAGTTGATGTTTCTGTTGAGTGGCTTAGAGAATTTGGGTGTTTATGATGATGTTTATTTGAATTATACTGTGAAATATCTTTATCAAACGTTGTTACATTTATCATATAGTTTTTTTTTTTACATTAATTGAAGAATGAAAGGCAGTATGTTTGTCTGTCAGCCCCGTCCTACTTCCTCTACCTATACTATGCTTGTATACTGTCTTCACACTCATTGTTCTCAGTGCTACTGCCCAAGTTTAGTCAGAACGGTTGGTTCTAAATGATAGGAATATAGCTTAAACTATCTTGAATAGTAAATCAAATTTTTTGGTACCTGAAGGTGGAAAGGATGCTGAGATAGCATACGGAATTCAAGGAAGGTTTACAGGAACCAGGGCCTTGGGGATTATAGAGCAGGGATATCACTCCTTTAGAACCCACTCTCAACTCTGCTTGGCTTCATTCTTTTTATTGCAATCAGGCCTTTGCCAAAAGATCAAAGAGAGCAGTCTGCATCCTAGCCTCATGTTTTTCTGATACCATGACCCCAAGAGGCAAGACCATTTCTTTTCCTGCTCTAAATTAGGAGATTGATTTGGATCAGCTGTTGTGTCCAGAGAAAGGAGGATAACTATGATTTGTCTGGTTTGGAGCTCATGCCAACCCCAATGACCAGGGGAGGATAAGGAAATACCAAAGAAGAGGCAAGGAAAATCTTGTCTTGAGACCACATCATTAACAGTCACTGTCCTCTCGAAGGCACCATTGCCACAGACCTTTGATGATTTTCCACTTCAGTTTATGTAGCAGCTTACTGTTCTCAAAACAGCAATGGCGGGGCGCCTGGATGGCTCAGTCAGTTAAGCGTCTGCCTTGGGCTCAGGTCATGATCCTGGAATCCCAGGATCGAGCCCCATGTCGGGCTCCCTGCTCAGTGGGGAGTCTGCTTCTCCCTCTTCCTCTGCTCCTCCTCTACTCGAGCTCACTCTCTCTCACTTACTCTCTCTCTCAAATAAATAAATAAAATAATTAAAAACAGCAATGGCAATTTAATAGTCATTCAAAATATGATCTGTAGTTAAGAAGCTATCTTTTTCTATTTACTTACCAAATTCAAATTTATTTTTTTTTCTGTCATTATAGTCTATTGCATCTGCAGACATGGATTTCAACCAGCTGGAGGCATTCTTGACTGCTCAAACCAAAAAGCAAGGTGGGATCACATCTGACCAAGCTGCTGTCATTTCCAAATTCTGGAAAAGCCACAAGACAAAAATTCGAGAGAGCCTAATGAACCAGAGCCGTTGGGACAGTGGGCTTCGGGGCCTGAGTTGGAGAATTGACGGCAAGTCGCAGTCAAGGCATTCAGCTCAAATTCACACCCCTGTTGCTATAATGGAGCTGGAAATAGGGAAAAATGGACAGGTAAATCAAACTTTAATTTCCTTTTGTAAACTATATTTCTCATTACATGTTAGCTATATATTCAGATTGATTTTATGTAACAGTCTTCTTTGCAGAGATAATAAGAATAATAGGAAAAGACCCTGTTTCCTAGAATCCCTTTTCAGATATGGAATCATCTGAAAATTTGGATATTCCCAGTTTTGGATAGAATCTGGAAACCAGCCTCATGGTCCTGGCAGTTACCTCAGAAGTACAAAATGGGTCATTGAGGTGATTGCACAGAAGTTGGCTACTACTCCATTTTGGTTAGATCTCAGAATTCTTGGCATTTGGTCAGAATCTTTAAAGCAATGATAGAGATGCTAAATAAAGAGCAGAAATTGAGATTAAACAACACAGAACAAAACTGTCTCACCCAGTCATCTTTTTTGGCAGTGTGTCTTAATTACAGTATTTGTTCCTAAAGACCCTAAGTGTGCTATCTCTATCCTTGAGCCCACAAATAATTTTTAATTTGATCTTGATTATTTACAAAACAGTCCTCTTTTTCTTGCAGTTTCCATCGTCATTATAGCAGATGATTTTGGCATCTACATTGTTTTTCTTGAAGTCATTCAGTTTGTGCTTCAGATAACTGCCATATCAGACTTTTAATGACCTGGTGTATGCCTTTTGAGAAAAAAAGAAAAAAGCAGCAACCCATAATTGGGAAGAGAAAACCCAGATCACTGAATTAGCTAACTAGATTTATTTTCAGATAAATAATCAAATAAGTGCTTCTGTTACATCCTATAATAGAAATTTATTTTTTTTCTACAGATGAGAGCATTTTTTTAGCTGTCAGTTTCCCTTACATATTCCTTTCTTAAGTTTCTTAGGATTTTTCAGTGTTTGTAGTTCCATAATAACACTAATTTTAATTTAAAAGGTAATTCCTTTAAAAAATAATTCTTTTTCAAAATACATTTGGAGAATCTTTTATACAGTTATTGTAAAATAGTGCTATTGCCTTTTTTGACTTTGGTTTGTCTGACCCTAAAGTCCATTCTCTTAACCGTCATATATGGTCTTCCTCCTACTGTTCCTAGATCAAAAATCTGACAGATTACAAAGGTGTGTTATGTGATAAGTATACTTGGATATCTAAGTTTCACTAGCCATTTATATAGGCTATTCATTTTTTATTTGGTAGTAGTGATTATTTCATTTTGTCTTTAAGTTTTTATAATTTGGGTAGGAATATGAAAACATGCATATCTATTTTAAGATATTCCTAGAAAGCTGTTATAATACTTCTTTAACTTGAGCAGGGTCGCCTGGGTGGCTCAGTCGGTTAAGTGTCTGCCTTCGGCTCAGGTCATGATACCTGGGTCCTGGGATCGAGCCCCGCGTTGGGCTCCCTGCTCAGCAGAGAGCCTGCTTCTCTTTCTTCCTCTGCTGTCCGCCCCCCCCTTGCTTGTGTGCTTGCTCTCTCTCTCTCTGTCAGATAAATAAAATAAAATTTTTAATAAAAAAATACTTTAACTTGATATTTTCCTATTATTTCTTAAACTGCCTTTTGATTTTAGTAACTTATATCATCTGGATTTATTGGGTATCACCACAGGGATTTTTTAAATCTACTTGAAAATCTTTAAACTTTTTCTTTGATCTTGTTACCCAAAGTGGCATTCAACTGTCTATTTTTTTAAGTGTAGAATGATTTTGCCAACAGTAAATCTAAACCTCACTACAAATAATGTTGGCTAGCTTCAGGGATATTTTGTGATCAATTAGAACGAGTTGGTAAATTTTTTTTTAAGTGGCCAGATAGTTTGTGCTTGACAACCGTATAGTTTCTGTCATAAGTACTCAACTTTGTTGTTGTAGCTCAAAAGCAGCAACAGACAATATGTAAATAAATGGACATTGATGTTTCTAGAAAGTTTACCTATCACAGTATAATCAACAGATCTTAGAAGTCAGAGAGTCCTTAAGCACTTACCTGGTGAATTACACAGGTGAAGTAGTCTATCCCCATTTTCTAGAGAAGGTATCTGAGATAGATATGATTTCCTTTAGACAGAGGTACTATGTGGTAAAATGAAAACTAAAATGGAAATCACTAAATTGATTTTTTTTCCCAAAAACCATTGATACCAACGTCTAGGAGTCAAAAAAACATGTTCATAATAAAATAAGGTAGTCGACAGCATTGATACTGAAATTGCTCTTTAACCCACAAAATCCTTTGACTGCAAATATATTCTTAAGAAAAGTTGTAAAGAAAAAAGTAAACAATAATACAACCTAGGCTGGCAATAAAACATACAGCCCAAATCCTACAGGAAATGTTTTTGTGAGACCTGGATCCTTGGTTAGTACTTCTGTCAGCCTCTAAGTAAATATTATTTATGAAGTACTCCACTATATCAAATTTCCAGTTTTTAGAACATCTATGGGCAACAAAGTCAATGTTATTTTCATATGTAGACATTGAATGAACTTGTGAGAGAATTAATGATTCTAAGATACTGAGAAGTTGCTTCCAAGAAGAATGACCAACTTTTTTGAACTCTGTGTGTGTGCATATGTGTGTATTGATATACCCCAAAGTAACTAAATTACTGTCTTCAGTTTATGTCATTTTAAATCAGTTGTTCTCAATGATAGCTGCACATAAGAATCGCTTGTGGGGCTTTAAAATTTTTCATGCTTATGACGGTGTTGAGACCAATTAAATAAGAATCTGTGGGGATGGGACCTGGGTATCAGTATTCGTTAAAGTTAGTGATTCCAATATTCATCCAGAGTTGAGAACCACTGTATTAAAGGTAGCCAAACAATGTGAAGTGTAAATAGAGCTTGGTATCAAATTTTTACAGTGAGAATTCAATATACGTTGGCATAGTACTTCTAGTTACCATAATGTATGGAGTGCTTGGGGACTCTCTTCAGGAACTAGATGTGGTAGTGGTGGGTTTTTTGTCTTCCCTTCTCTATTTAAATTGCTTTCTCCTGCTAGTTTGTGTTACTTCTTTCTTTAGTCCAAAAACTACATTTGGTGATCAGTGACCAAGTACAGGCACTGGCTTTTTTCTATTAACACAATATAATAAACTTTTGGAAGATGAGGAAGCCGAAGTAATAGAGAAGTAACTAAAGCAGTATACATTTATGGAAATCTACAGAGCTAGAGAAAATGAGTATGAACTAGTGAACTAATTACTTTTCTTAGAATGTTTTTCTCCAACAGAAATAAAAAATTTTGCAAGAATAAAACATGAATTCAATGGTGAAAGAACATAGAACACTTTGAGGTGAACATTTCATGTACAAAGAAAAGAACAAGTGCTTTACTTGTACAGTTGAGATCCTATCATATTTGGGCATCAGTCACTGAGGGTCCCCAAGCCTTGAGGACTATTGGAATCTGGTATGTGTCTTTAGAAAAGTTTTGTTATTTAATATACTTATTAACTCCATGTTGTTTTCTTCTGGAATGTAATTATCATAGAATGTCTTCTTTTTTAAATAGTAACTTTTGGGGGGATAATTTATATGTTTAGTGAAGTCTCATTTATGGTTATTTCTTTTTTAAAGATTGAATTTTGGTATTTTATAAAGATGTGTTGGTTTTTCCTTTGTGACTTTTTTTTTTAGAATTTATTTATTTTTGTTAGTAATCTCAACACCCAACATGGGGCTCGAACTCACAACCCTGAGATCAAGATTTACATGCTCTTCTGACTGAGCCAGCTAAGCACCCCTTTTTTGTGACTTCTTGTTTTTCAAGACCAATAAAACATTTTGTGAGGAAACATTTAGCCACAACCTCAGTGCTGAACCGTTTAGTGACAAATTGTTCCTCTTATCTTCCACCAAATTGTTCTTTCGTATACATTTTGAAGTGCCCTGCCTGTAGAGATCAGAAATACAAAGCTCTGTTTCTTTTTGCCTTTCTAGAAATGGCTAATGTTACTGCCTTTTCTAGACTAGGATTTAGTGTACCAAGCACTCCTCTAGGTTTGGGTCTGTTTTCAGCAGACGTAGGGAAGACAGCCTCCCCTCCCCTGCCCTTCAGTCTGCTTCATAACAAGTCCTTTGCTTCTTCTGTCACTCTCCCTGGGGATGGCCCACTGTTCTTTCTCTACAGTCTGGGCAGACTGACTGGTGATAGCAAGAGTAGTGTCAGTGAAGCAGCCCACACAGCTGGAGAGAGAATTTTCAGTGGGAGAGTCTAGGCGATTCTCTGGCTTCTCCACACATTCATCCCAGCACAGCTCCAAGATGTGATACACCTGTGCAGTGAACTGCATGCACCTTTTGTTGTTTGGCTGCCACCAGGTGCTGCAACTCTGCTTCATGTGCCTCACCCAGGTCTGCCATTATCCTTCTAGAGCTTGGGTGATTAATAACCAGTTTATTATTATTATTAACAGCTGAGCTCTGTTATACCACTGTAGCTTCACCAGCTTGAGCAATGCCACCACAACTCCCTGGTTTGTGTCATAGGAAAAGAAGCAAAGATTAAAACACATACACATTCTCTGACACTCTTTCTCACTTACATAAACATGTATGTACATACATAGGTTTTATGTGTGTGTGTATAAATATATGGAGAAATAAAAGGATAGGGGCACCTGGGTGGCTCAGTCAGGCATCCAACTCTTGATTTCGGTTCAGGTCATGATCTCGGGGTCATGGGATCAAACCCCACTTGGGGCTCTGTGCTTGGTGTGGAGTCTGCTTGAGATTCTCTCCCGCTTTCCCTGCTCACACTCAAAACATACATACGTACATACATACATAAAATCTTTTTTAAAAATGAAATATAAGGATAGAATATAGAGAATAAATAAAATGCCATTGTTTTTATCAATGCTCAGTCACCATTTTAAGATGATATTGCCTTACTCCAAATACCTACCAAGGGGAGCTTAGATATCTCATTTGGTTAGATAAGCTGTAGTGGTTGGCCTATTTCTGGTAATTCTTATATTTAAGCTTGTTTTCACTTTTAACGATATAATAAA